TCCAAACAACAACTGCTGTGAAGAGCATTGAATAGCTCACCCGTCTCAGCGTTGAACTACCTGTAAAACGTCTGATTTCAATCAGTCAGACTTAAATTGTCTCCCAACACGACAACGCTAGACCACATGTCGCCTGACGTCACCCCCTTTAACATTTCCATCTGTTTTTGGCCCGCAAGTAAATCAACGTTGTGTTTTTGAAGGTTGGGACAAGTTTTCTTCCTAGGTCACGACACGTGGAAATACCATGGTTCACGCACCAATGCTCGCCAGCGACCAAAATCTCAATGCAACGCTTCGGTCGTGCAAAACCAACCCGAGATCATGCAATGTGGAAGTGCACTTGATGCGGGCCAACTCCTTAGTTCTCGATCCGATCCCTCCGAAATTGAGAAATCCTTAACCAATGCTCAGCCTCACAGGGCGAACGTACTTGCCATGACGCCTACCTCAACTATCAGGGCAAATTTGCAAAATTACGCGCAATGACATTAAAAACTAGCACCCAAAATTGTGATAGACGACAAATTGTCCTCACCGTCACGCGTCGACAGCACAGACAAGGAGTTACACGGTAGTGTTTGCACACCAGCCACCTCCAACGTGGTTGGTGGCTACCTCCACAAGCCCTGTTGACCAGGGAATAACTACAACTGTCTCATTCAACCCCAGTATCCATTATCGTCCTCTCAAGTATACGCCATCCTGACACAATGGCCTAAAAGTACGTTTAGTGTTGTAGGGAACGAGTTCTCAGTTGGCTTGTGGGTTGAAAGGCATTGATAAACAGGCAAAAACACACTGAGACACATTTGAGGTAATCTGTTCACGTGTCGCCGATCAATGTTTCCACAATTATGCCGGCGGTGCAACAACATGGTGACAACCAATCCGGAAGTGTGACTTCTGATATTATGACGTGGGTTCAAGGCGGGTTGGACGTTAACAACTTCTCATTGGTGGTGTGCACGCGCACACAGTGGCCCGGTGGTTAGTTTAACCCACGTTTTATCCCGGCGAAAACGACTTCCCGTGGCGGAAATGTGAGAGGATGAAGAAGAGATCGTGGAGGGGTCGGTCAGGAGAAGACGCTGGACTTTATGAATACGCAAGAGACACGACATGACTGAGATCAAGAAGGGGATTAACAAGCGGCCTGCGTCAACAACAGAAGTGACAGGAATTGTATCGCTAAGTAGTGATGACTTGGAGATGTCACATGCAGGAAGTGAGAACGAGAGAGAGGAAGACGGAGGAAGAGGGAGGGAGGACTAGGTTTTCCGCGAGGAGGCAGATGTCGGCAGGATGACGGGCGGCGGACGCAGTAGACCCAGAGACGAGGGGTCGAGGTTTTCGTAGGTTCTGCAGGAGGTCGACAGAGAGCCACCAGCAGTGCTGACGGCCAACCCAGGAGGCTGAGAGTTCTCCTTCAGGCGCATCTCCGTGGAACTCAGACGCAGCTGCGTGAGATCAACTACAAGGAAGCGAAACAATTACTCTGAGTAGCAGAGGTAGTCGCGGACGCAGCATAGAACCGTTCACCGCAACATCACCAACGAAATTTAGGAAGCCAGGGGATCTTACGACGTACCCGCGTCACCCGGGATCGATAAACAGGCTAAATATGAGAGTAAATCATGGTGCTAAATACGTTTTAGCGGGCTTTCGGGAGACGAAGGCATTCTTGAGGAATGCTTGCATGCGATACACTTGGGTAATTCAACACGATGATCAACGTCTGAATGGCATCGCAAACAACTAAACATCTCAATCGCCAAACTCGGAGAAAACACGCCTGAACAAAGTCACTGATGCTGCTTTGCCATCCAATCCACTAAAATCTGCGTGTCATGCAACCCCAGGAAAACAATTTCACAAATTAAATTATGTTGTTCATAAAATGGATTCGGTTGCAAAAAGTTATTATGGCATTGTGTGACAGCTTTCAGGAAGCCTGTAAGTGAACTTATCAGGGCTGAAATTACTCCGCGGCAAGGAATCAACAATCCCCATGAATCGGAGCATTTACCCACGGGCAATTAGAGTCAATAAAACCATGACACGTGTTGCCTAACTTTGACGCCCCACTGATGGCATGTGGGACACTGAGAAAATCTGAAAACACCACACACGAACTGCTCATTAATTACAGTAACCAGTTCATCATAAGTGACATCGAGAAGAGAATTGAGCGACACGGCAGTCAGTTGTGCGTGGAGTAGCCCGATACCACAAAAAAAAATCAAACACTCACGCGGCTTGTGGACACCCTTGGGCAAGCTACTAGCACAGTACAGTTCAATAATCTGCAAGATCTGAGCATCGCCTTCGTTCCTCTGCGTAATTTCATCTAAAAACAAATTTAAAGACGCATTAGCAGGGGTGAATGAGAGAGAGAGGGAGGTAGCTAAGTCCGGATTATTGCTTTTGAGATGAGGTGAACCATGCTAGAACAAGCAGTGGGTGGGGCGTCAGGTGTTAGGGAGGGGAACGGGCTGGGCAACACGCACGGCAACGAACACAAACACGCGGGTTGCAAAGGGGTGCTACTCGGTTTGGTGGTGGTGGCGGCGGCAAGACACAACCTCAATCTTCCACAAATACGCCTGTGCGAGGAGACGAGTCGTGTACACAGCTCTTGGGGAAGTAAGGATCCCCGTAACGAGAAAATTCACCCAAATACAACTCTACAGTCACGCAAAACCGTTGTTCACACAGCCAACTCATCGATCCCAGATCGCCCTGGCACATCTGAGCTTTCACACGACTTCCGCCTCAACAGCCTGTCTTCAGGCAATCAAGCTGCGCAGTTAACTGCTCGTTTAGAATCAAATCATTAAAAACACCCCAACCACGTGGGAAAAGTAATTACACTCGCTTGCATGTGAGCAGTAGTGCAGCGTACCAAGATGCTGAACGAATCGCCTCATGCACCACTTTATACCAACAAGAGACAGCACCCTCTGTAATGGCCTTGTTCGTGGTGATGATGACGATGATGATGATGATGAAACGTGTGTGAGTGCTGCCTCCTCCTGGCACGTGATTTTCCCAATGGCCTTCTAACACCTACACGATGGGCTTGATTTACTCGTTGTTTGAATTCTGACCCCCCTTACATTTACTGTCTACGCTGTTCGTTGTCACAATGTGTACTGTCTAGGAAGACACGTAGATCTTGTCGAAAGTTCCGATTGGTGTGACGATCCGTCTTGATTACGAAGCTGATGTAAACGTCAATTACTTAAACTCCTAACACTATGCAACGATGCTACACTCCTAATGCGTCACGAAGGGATTTCACAGGAGTTGAGAACAAACACAGCCACCACCACCACCGCCACCACCGGCGGCGAGTAGACACCCCCCACTGGGCGGCATCGCCCGCAACTGTGCAAGGGGGAGGGGAGGGCAAGGCTTGAGAAGGGTCAGCGGAGGGGGGGCGGTATTTACGGATGCGTCCCGTCGAACGAATGACGTCGTCCACGTTAATGGCGCTCTTCTGGCGATCTGAAATTGCGGGGAGGGGGAAAGGGGAGGTTAGAGGAGGACACAACACCGAGGTGGTGGCGTGCAACACAGCGCGAAGTAAAACAGCAACAACAACAGCAGCTACAACAACGCAGATCACAAGTCAGGCTAATGTAAGGCTACTTCGTAAAAACGACATGTCGCTTAGGATTTAGAGATATTACTGAAAAAAACAGATTTAAGCTGTCAATTCAGGCCATAGTGGAGTTTATTGGGTGATTGCAAAACTACGCAATCGATTTTCAGCGATACACCACGGGAATAAAAAACGTTTTTCATCGTGTTTTCACACATGCCTTTTCAATAATGAGCGTTGCAACCGTAAGAACAAATATTCAAGGGGTTTATTTGCACCAGATGTCTGTACCTAGGGTAGTCCAGAAGGGGTTCGGTCGATTCAAAACTCGCGATATCAGTCTATACGACCTCAGGGAATTGATAATGA